GGGAGACCCCAGGCACAGGTCCTCCTCTTTCCCCTCGGTCAGGACTGGGATCTGGTGGGATCGCTCTGCACGATGGCTCTGTCCCAGGGGAAGGGGCACTTGTCGGAGCTTGTAGTTGCTCTTTCCTGCACTGCAGAAGTGGGACCTGACAGGGGTCCCTTCCTTCTCCGTAGGGTGACGAACCAATCTTCTTGTTTCTCAAGGCAGGGAGAAGCATTCACAGTAACTGTAGGAAAACTGACAACCTGCACCCACATCCTAAATGTTATCCGTAAGCCTGGCAGTAGCAACTATTCGACCCTCAGAGTACCCACAGGCAGATGTCTGGTGGTATTGTGGAAAGGAGAGCCTCTGAGGTTTGCTTCCACCCGATCGGACTGAGAAGTGAGCCGTGGCCCAGGTGGCAATCCCCTTCACCCCAGGGTTCTGTGGAAAACCTGAGCACAGTGAGGAATTACCACAAGATGGAACACCGTTTCTGTTTTTGCCATTTTAATTTCATCTTCTCGGAGTTGCCTGTTCCCACAGCTCGCCCATTTTGCTGTTGGCTGTTCTTTGGCGAATTTATCTGCAGATAGTATTTCTACAACTCGTGGCTAACCGATGTGCTTCTTAGGGATGACCGCCCCCAGTCTTTTTGAATAACCATCTTGCGCTTTCCAACTTTGAGTCCCTCTTCTGCTTTTAATCACTTAAAGCGTACTGCCTGCCAATTGTGTGTTCCATGATTCTTTTAGGGGACGTTCTTAAGGAGTTGACCTTGCTCTGTCATCCTGGGATTCAAACCCAGGTCCATCCCAACCCTCCCCGCCCTGCCACTGTCACTCCAGTGGACGCTTAGAGCCCCGGGGGGCACCACTCGGTCCACAAGGCCGAGCGTACCAGAAGAAATCAGACCAGCATCAGCATTCATCACATCGGGTTTATTGGCTGACCCTTCATGGCTATGCAAGGGGATGAATTTTGGGGGGGAGTGTGACAGCCTCAGAGTCCACCCAGTGTCTGGACATCTTTGGGGAAAAGGCACTTTCCCAGCAGCTGGGCCACCCCTGGGACTGCAGCCAAGCTTTAGGTAACCTCATGCTGCCCCCAGCAGCTGGCAGATGCCCCGAGCGCCCATTTATAGCCCTGAGACCCAACACCTGCCTGAGACAGACTGGGGATGCCCAGCCTGCCCCTCCACCCCCCCAACCTGGACAGCTCAAGCTCTCAGGCCTCTCCTGGCAGCCTAGGCTCACCCCTCACTCACCCTGAAGCAAGTCCCCCACTTGCCCCAGCCTGCCCAGCAGCTACAGGAGGCTGGGCACAGAGCTGCCACCAGGATGTGTGTGTTCAGTGACTGACTACAGGCGCCAGGGGAAGGGGGCCAGCACGAGGGAGGTGTGGAGCCCTGGGCCCCTGCCAGAGTGGAATCTTAGACCACAAGCCCCGCCTGAAGATGAGGGTGAAGATGAGCCTTCCTCACGCCCCCAGCGCTCAAGGCCAGGCCAAACGCATGCCCTAGAGACTCCTTCCCGGCCGGGTCGCTGAGCGGCTCCCCATCCCAACCGCAGACAGATCTACCGTGTGAAGCTGCTTTCAATCTCATTGGAGATCCCCTGACGACAGCGGCACTGTGCCTCCCAGCTGAGGAAGATTTTCCATGACTCCAGGGGGCCCCAGGTACAGCGGAGAAGCAGTGGAGAAGATGGACGACCCGGTGGTGCTCCGTTCTGTTGTGTGTGGGCCGGGTCGCTGTGAGTCGGTCCTGACCCGGTGGCAACTCACATCCACCAGCAGCAGCCCCTCTGCACAGAGGCGAATGGGAGGCCCCTGCCCACTGGGAGGAGGGGCGGGAGTTCAGAGATGGCAAGTAAGTCCCCTGCAGGCACCCAGTCAGGGCTGGAACTTTCTGGACACATAGCCTGGTAAGCCTGGTCATGAGGAGACTGACACTGTGCCGGGGCCTCTGTGCTAGGAGCGGGGACTTAGAAACGGGATGGGGAAGGCTCAGAGTCCCTGGAAATTATTTGTAGAAGAAAAAAGAACCAAGAAAAGGATTGCGGGGGTTTTTGGTGGGACCGCTGCTGCTCGGATTCCGGGTGATGAACCAACGCCCCCGCCCCCTTTAAAAAAATGACTAGCACTTTGCAGGGAGCCTGCCAGAGACAGAGACACCCCCCCTATTCCTACATCCTCACATCTACTGAACCCCATCAGTCCCAGGGGTGGGCACCGGCCCCAGTTTGCAGTGAGGGAGGGAAAAGAGCAGAGACCAGGTCCCCACCCCCCCACACTCATGGCCCCCACCCCCTAATCCGTCTTCTTCGCCTTCTTCTTTCTGGACCCCTCGCTCAGCTCCTCCTTGAGCTTGGGGTGCAGGGGTGAGTGTGCGGCGCCCGGGCTGCCAGCTTGGGCCCCGCTGTGGCCTCCGTGGTTGTCATGGTGATGGTCAGCCCCCAAGGTGGCCCCAAACAGCACGGGACAGACGTAGCTCTCCAGGACGTCGAAGGGGGAGCCATGGGAGTGGGTGGCCGTCAGGAACACCTGAAGTGGGGGGGTTAGGTGGGGAACAGGAGGCAGAAGTCAGCGGGGTCAGAGGTGGAGGCCGGCCGGCCTGCTCTCTGCCCGTAGTATCCACCCTCGGGAGGGGGGCCAACCATCCTGGCGGAAGGAGGGTTTCGGTGCTCAAACCCAGGCCGGCATCCACTAGGATGAGAGGTGCAGGGACGACCTGGCGTCGCATAGCTCACACGGGGCGGAAGGAGACTCGGGGCGCTGTTCCCCATCTCATCCGGGGGTCCACAGCCCTGTACTGGGCACTTCTATCTCCACCGGCTGCGCGTGCAGGGAGGAGGGTGTGGCCCTAAGGCCCCTCCTCCTAGGTCCCTAGTCCAAATTGGACCCCCGACCTCCATTCTAGCGGGGCCCCTTCCCACCTGCACTCCCAGGGCCTGCCTTTCCTCTGCTCTCGGCAACCCCAAACTCTAATCGCCCCCATCCACCAACCTGCAGGACTCTGCTGTACTCAGATCCCACCCCCCCAAACCCAGAGACCCTGCCTCGAGGCTCCTGCCCTTCCTGTGCCACGTGACCTCCGGAGGCTCTCCCCGCCCCGCCCCGCCCCGAGGCCCACCTTGCAGGACACCAGGAACATGGTGAAGATGAAGATGAGGGTGGCTTTGGAGACGGGCAGCCAGCGAGTCTGCTGGAGGGTGAAGAGCACGGCTCCGTACAGGCTGGCTTTGGTGGGGCTGCACGGGAGGGGCGCGGCTGAGCGGGGCGCCCAGAGGGCTGGGCACCTCCGCTCCCCAGCACCCCCATCCCTCCCGCCCACCCCAGCTCCTCCTGAGTGGGATGGCTTGAGAGAGGTGGTGCTGTCCTTTGCAGGAAAGGCTTAAAACCTTTCCCGAATGAGGTCTGACCTTTGCTCTTGAGTTCTGGGAGGTGATGTCTGTCTTTGGAACGTCCTGCCCTACAAGAGTGTCTTTGTGTACCTGGGGCCTCGGGCCACCCCAGATGGTCGGTGCCAACAACGGGATTCATGGCGTGGGGGGGGGGGGCGGGTAGAGGTCCCCAGGCTCTGTACTCACAATGGGTTTCACCCTGATGGTCTAGACCAGCGGTTCTCAACCTTCCTAATGCCACGACCCTTTCATACAGTTCCTCATGTTGTGCTGACCCCCAACCATAAAATTATTTTCATTGCTACTTCATCGCTGTCATTTTGTGACTGTTATGAATCGTCATGTAAATATCTGATATGCAGGATGTATTAGGCAACCCCTGTGAAAGGGTCTTTCGACCCCCAAAGGGGTCGCAACCCACAGGTGGAGAACCGCTGCTCTATACCAACAACTGGATTCAGCAGTGGGGGGCTGGAAAACCAACGCCAGCCATGCCCACGTGACTGACCCGGGAAAACCCTGGGCTTTCACCCAATCCCATAGTCCCACCCTCCTACCCCACAGCCCCACCCCACGGGCCCTCACTCTCTCCTGCACACTTCCCCGCCAGTCCTCACCCCCACCAACCGCAGACTCCCCACCCCAGACCCCAGACATGGCTCCCCAGCCTGGCTTCTTGTTCCTGACGGGTGGCTCACAGAGCGGGGCATCCAGGGCTCCCTCCCTGCTGAAAGTCCTACTGACTTCACTCTGCAGCTCCGCCTGCACCCACCCTGGGGAGCGGGGCCGTGGTGCCCCCTGTGAGACCTTTTTAGCTTCACCCTGCCCCTCTGGAAGCTCCTGGAAGGGGGGCCAGCTTCGGCTGCCCGGGGATGAGAGGGTGGACGGTACTCACAAGGACATGTGCAGGAGCTCATTGGTCTCCGGTTTCCAGACGCCTCGGAGCAGCTGCTCCACGTTGGACATGAGGGCGACTCCCGAGCCTGCGGGCAGGGACGTCTGAAGGAGCCACCCAGCTCGGCTCCCGAGAGGCTTCCCCCAAGGGACACGCAGTGGGGTATGCGAGGGGGACCAGGGCAGGCAGGGAGATGCAGGCTCAGAGGGGCACAGGGCACGCTCAGAGCAGAGCCAGCGTGAAGGGCTGCTGTGGGCAGAATTGTGTCCCCACCCCGCACCCAGGTTCCGAGGGGGCTTCAAAAGGCTTGTCGGAAAATAGCATTAAACGATAACAGGGTGGAGGCTGGGGAGAGGGGGGAGACAATGACATTTCCCCCAAGCTTCCTGAAGCCCTCTCCTATGTGTAGAAAGCCTGGTGGTGCAGTGCTTAAGCACTCGGTTGCTAACTGGAAGTTGGGCTGTTCAAGCC